ATTTTGTTGACTAAGCTGCCACCTCAGATTCTTATGGCCAGCACTATTGGGAAAAGCTCCAATAATGTAATGTCTTTGACCCACCCCTGCTGTATCCATTGCTCCGGCCAACTGCCGTTAGTCCAGTGACCTTGAAAGTATGCTCCGAAGTCTTGGCTGCCTGCTGCGTCTGTATATAGTTGAAGGTGTGGGGTGGTGAGCCACTCCCGTTCCAGAAATAATGTTGTGCCATTGTGATTGAAGAGGAATTGTAGCCAGAGGTTGAGGTTATCCCGCATGCCTGCTGATTTGCATATTCGATGATGAGGCTTGCGTGCCCCTTTTTGAGCGTCTATGAGACGCCGTAGGAATGGGCGACCCATGGGGATTGCCCTGCATACAAAATTTAGCTTACCTACGATAGATTGCAGTGTATGCAGTGTAACCTTCCTGGTGGTTGGTTCTAGTATTTGTGATAGTTGCTGGACCAATTGAAGCACCTTGTCCCTTGGTAGCCTGACTTCACCCTTCAGCGTATCTATAGTAAGGCCGAGAAATGTAAGGCAGGTTGTGGGGGGTACTGTTTTATGATGTGCAACGGGTACCCCTAAATGATGCGATGTAATGCTTCATAAGAAAGTTCGTGCATGTGCCTTCTTTGACTGCTGCTAAGATGAAATCATCCAGATAGTGTGCGATGTTGTTGTTGTGTGTGAGATCCTTAAGTGCCCATTGTATAAAGGTGCTGAAAGTCTCAAATAATGCACATGAAATTGCGCAACCAAAGGGAAGGCATTTGTCGAAGTAGAATTGTTTCTGAAAAGTTATACCTAACAGTGGAAAGTCTGCTGGTGCTACCGATAGGAGACGAAAAGCCGACTTGATGTCACATTTGGATATGTGTGCGCCTTTACCAAGTTTTTGTATCATGGAGACTGCTTGATCAAAGCTAGTGTACTGTACCGTGCACACCTCTGGTGGTATGAAGTCATTGACAGACGAGCCCTCTGGGTAAGGTAGGTGATGGATGAGGTGGAAGGCAGCCTCCCCTTGCAGTGTCGCATCAGATTTCTTTGGCACCAAGCCTATTGGGGAAACTATAAGGTTATGAAAAGGTCTGTGAGAGAATGGACCTGCTTTGCGTCCTAGTTGAATTTCTTTTTGTAGTTTTTCCTTAACAACTTGAGGGAGAGCATTAGCGGAGTTAAGGTTGGTAGCATCGCATGGTTCCTGGGGACCCTGATACTGTAAGCTAAAACCGTGACTAAAACCTAGTTTTAATGATGAGGCCGCTGCTGGATTGATCATCTGGTAACGCTGTAACCATTGTTCTAACTCCAAAATATTAATTGGGGTTGGTGCCTTACAATGTGTTTTTGATGGGAAGTCGTGCTGGTTGCTTTGGTGCTGATGCTTGCATTGGCTTGGCCTTTTTTCCACGAAAACAAGGTGAAGCTCCATGGCCACCGACGTTGCATGACAGGTATTTGTGTGCATACCGGCATGACTGCCCCCTGTCGCATCCTTCGCGATTGAAATTCCGACAAATTTCGGCTGGTGTTGACGAGCGCTGTACCTGGTTAGAAAACCTTGATGGTGTTATGTTGTGCAGCCATAGCTGCCATCGATTGTGGCCCATGACCGGGAAGGGTCCCTCTCTATTGTTTGCCGAAACTGTATATCATATTGTGCCCAACAGTCGCCCCCAAAGCGTACGGCAGCGCCGCGGATGGTCTAAATGTAGGTGAGCAGCTCCTGCATTTTGTTGATGTGAGTGCTTCGCTCTACGACGATGCTGATGTATGTGAGAAAGGCTGTATGTCCAAGACCCGATATTAAGAGGCTTGAATGGTTGTTGTCTAGGTTTGAAGGTAACCTAGCCTGATGAATCCAGTTCCATAATAAAGTGTGATCCTTCCTTTGTTTGCTGCTTATCTAGCGGTAACAGCGTTTTCATGTCAATGAAGTCACCCCGATGTATGTTTTCCCTAATTGTCTGTTTAACGTGAAACCCAATGTTTTCATCGTTGAAATTTAGCTGTTGATTACTGACTAACTGGATTGAAGCGTTCGTAATTGGCTGATCGGCATTTTGAAAAGCTGTGATGGATCCCTGAGCCTCCGGCAACGTGGCCAGGTTGTGGTGCCCTTGACTGATGGATTGAGCATTTTTTCATTGGTTGATTGGCATTTTGATAAGCCGTGTTGAATTGTGTGAGTGAGTCGGCGATAGGTGTTTGGTTAACCTGTGAGATTAGCATTTCAGGCATTATCTTGACATGGTGAGCGTTTTCATTAAACGGGTACCTACCTTGATTATTGTCAGCCGCTGCCATGGGGGTGATGAATGATGGTGCCTCCGTGACCGCTGTGGGACGACTTTGGGCCGCCATTGTTGAGGGAAGACCTGCTGTCGTGCGAGGAGCCGCGGTCGCGGGGATAGCACCACTCCCGCGAGGCTCCCCGGGCGCCGTTGTCTGTAGAGTAGCTGCGTGTATGATCTCCGGACGAGGAGCCGCGGCCGAGGGGATGGCACCAAAACCGCGCAACTCCCCCGCCCTACGCTTAGCCCCCTTGGCCCGGCCTCCGATTAGCGTGTGGTTAAACCGCCAGTTACAGCCTTTCAGCACCCAAATCGGCTTCCCACTTTATGTTCTAAACATTACATTCCTCTGCCACATACAATTATGGATAAGGGGTCATATGGCCCTCTGCCTCTCAGCTGGGGACTGCTGACAATTCTCAGGTCCAAGGCAGCATAACATATTAAAACAATTGAAATATAACAAAGCAGATCTCACTTCTCAATTATGTCTATGTATTTATATATATATATATATATATATATATATATATATATATATATATATATATATATATATATATGATGGCTATAGTGGCATGATCTCATGTCAGGTCAAGTCAGAGCCAAATATCACAAAATCATACAAATACATTTAGAAGCTGACTACAAACAACTTGTGTACCATATCGCAGTTCATTAGAGGTGAATATGTGTTATTGATGCATATTGTACATATGGCTGCTACGGAACATCGCAGGACAACAGGTCTGTGGGCTACAAATTTGATAATAATGAAACAGTTACTGCATAATAAGAATATATCCAGTCAAAGTGCATATCCTAATCAAATGACTTATATACATTAATCACGAAATAATGTTCCTTGTAACCATGTCCGTTTATAGAATAGTTACATTCACTATATATACAATAACAAAAAATGTATTTACAAAACGTAAGGTATACAAATTCAAGTGGATTCCCCTATTCCCGGGGAAAAGTACATTGCAAATCAGCCAGATCCCGAGGGTGACAATCGAATGGAGGAGGGCACAGGCCCCTACTGTTTTATCAAACCCTGTGTAGCCACCATCAACGGAACAGCCAGATGGATGGGAGTCATGGGACATGCGCTCCCTCCAAGCCCTAATAACTGCACCATCAGAAGAGCTCTCTACTATAAATTTTGAAAATAATTGACAACTGTAACGGGTGGTAAATACCAGAATATGTTCAAAAGAAGATCAGACTGGGTGATGGGGAGCATGTTGTCTTCCTTCACAGACAAATAATGCCGGAATGTGTGTTGACACTTGTGCGAACAAAATACCCAAATGGGATAAATGAGCCATATATGGGACACAAGTGGTGGCGAACTGACTTTGTTATTTTTCTCTTTGTATATATATATTATCATTGATATTCTTTTAGACTAACATTTAATCTCTGAAATCTTATATTACACAATATCCTTCTTGACTCTAAAAATATAAAAAATTCCCTATGCTGATTTCAGAATAGAGCTAGCTTCAGCTGGCTAGACTTGCTTTTGTATGCATTTCTAGATTATTATTTTTTCATAAAATAAATATATTCCACGGCCATGGTGCAGGACTAATATTCTTTCAAAAACTGCAATTAATTTCTTGGGGGAAAATCAAAATTTTGTAAAGCATAACACAGTAGTGAAACTCTTGGCATCATGTAACTGACTATGGCAATACAGTATCCTTATCAGACAAGTGATTGTGTTTTGTTTACATAAAGAGTGTAATTGCTCCTAAGAGGTCAAATGTGTGACTTGTGCTGTGTCTCAAAGTTGACAGGCCTTCCGTTCCCTCCTGGAGGAAAAAGTGGCGGGAGGCATGGTTGTTGTGCGCAGGAAAAAACGAGAGTTTAAGAAAGTTTTAAGAAAGAATTTTAAACGGCGGGCCGAACAGATTAGAAGTTAAACAAGTTAGTAAACAAAGCCGCGAGCGATAGCGAAGATAGCGATAGAATTAGCGATAAATTTGAGCGATACAAAGGAGAAGCCAAAAGTGATAGCGAGCGCGGCACGACGCTTTAGTGAGAGGAAGTGACGTAGGCCAGAGAACGTGACGTAGGGCACGTGAATGTAGCGGAAGTGACGTAGTTGCCATTGCTGATAAACACGGAAGTAAATGGCGGATTGTATGTGCGATGAAATTTTGACTATTAGACGTAAGTTGCTTATAGGAGAAATAACAGGTGGAATGTAAGATAAATGCTGCCAATAAACCCATCTAGCGAATTACTGCTAAATGTTAATAACATAACATAAACCGGAACAAACCGAAATATTTTTACAGGCTGAATCGCAACCCTAATTCGTCACCACTCGCCCCTTTCCGTAACCCACAAGAAGACTCGTCTCCCTTTCGATGAATGTTATGTGCGAAAATACGACAAACCAATCAGAAAGCGCGTATGATTTTAAGTTCCTCGTCAAAGAATCCCTCAGAAATAATTTTTGATTTTACATATGTCTTGCATCTTAAAATATACCCAAGACACAGTTAAATGTGTTCAATCATACTGTATAATTCCGCACGTCCCAATGTGCTTTAAATTGCATCTGAAATATATATAATACATGGGGAAATTATATGTGAACCATTACGCAACGAGTTGACAATTGTTTAGGTATGCCCGTTTGCGCTAAGACGGAACCCGGTCGCAAAAATGGCCATGATAAGGGCACGAGTCGCTATTCGGCTTGTCCCGGAATAACACGAGTTGGTCACGAATGTAGCAACCCGGTCACCAGCGGGATACGATCTCAGCACATGACGCTCTTTTACCTGCTCCGCCCTATATTCACACGACATGTGGAGTGGAGCGGAGTGACACAAGGTCACATCATTGATTTCGCTATTGGTTATGAGCGTTGTCACCATGCGTTAGTTTGAACAAGGACTCTCCACATAGTGCTGAGGTAGAGATAGATCTGGATTTATCGTTATTACTCCACCAGAAGAAGTAGCAGGTAAGCTTATTTCCACAGCTAAATTAATCAATATTCACCATTTCTACCAGTCCCTGACTTACCTAGGTCAGAATATCCCGTACGGCTGCAGACAGGTGTATAATGACTACATGGACTTTGTTGTATGGAAATTCCGCTTATCCCTTACAGGTTAATGATTTGACAAGTTAACATCCTCATCATAACCATCGCAGTAGAGAGGCAAGAAATAAATCAATTCTGCCTAGAAACGGTCGGAGTTGTATCCACACTCCATCGTCCAACCATTGAATCCAATGAGTGCACGCCCTTAAAATAAATAGGTTCATGGCAGCTGATCGACAAAGGAAACGAATGTTTTAGAACTTGGTTTAAAAAAAGAACCTGGATTTTGTCTGTATTCGTCGTTTTAGAAAGAAGAAGCACAAGTGTTGGCTGCATCTTTAGATAATGAAAAGACTTTCGAAGGTATTTGGCACGACGGACCATTTGTCTAGTTACATGGCCTTGGTGTCAAGGGCAAATTATGGAATCTACATGTTCACATCTATAGGTGCATATTGGCTTTTATATCATGGAAACATTACATAAGGTGTTGGGTAATGTCAGCCTGTTGTTTTGTATTTATTTTATAAATGATATTATATGTGCATGAAGGAAAGCAAACACTCGCCTCTCTGTTCACGGAATTAATGTACCCTGGGCCTTATGCCGATGATAAAACACTCTTGTCAACAACCTCTAGCACCTTACAGTCTTCTTCGGTTCAGTTTATTAATATGCCAACAAATGGAGACTACCGACAAGCTCGGTGATGCAACAATTGACAGCTCTGACTCAGTCAAGTAGGGTGGTATTATCATAAACAGTAACCTATCACGTGAAAAGAGAGTCTGACGAGTTGATCAAAAGCAAGAACCCATGTTAATTCATGACGGTCACATGGGTTCTGATTTGTCTGTTTATTTGTTTGTTTGTTGTTTAACGCCGCACTCGGCAATATTCCAGCTATATAACGGCGGTCTGTAAATATTCGAGTCTGGACCGTTCAGGTGGAATACTACTTCCTACAAGAAAAAAGTTTGAGAATGTTGTGAAATGGGCAAGAATCCCTAAAAGTTTAATATTTGTGGGTATTCGACAAAACCATGTTAAATACAGATAAGAATGCAGTGTGCTCATGTGCGTAGATTGACCCAGGTCCGTCACGCTGGTGAAGTACGTTATTAACTGACCGCAGTAACGGTGTGTTATTGTTGCAAGAAGAGCTACTAGATGTTCTTTCTCACTGCGACGACTTTTATAGTATGTTAGATGGAGATTTTAATGCACGGACGGACGGGTTCCTTAGCCGGATTGTGTTAAAGATGATATTCTTGAATATTTCCATACTCGACCATGTTAACATGGTGGTACGAGCGTCGGCAGACAATGTGTTAACAAGTTTGGAGAAAGTTGGATAAATTTATGTTGTGTCTAAACATTCATCTCATGAATGGAAGATGTGGGCCACACTAGGAAGTTGGGGACTACACGTTTATTGGCAATCAAGGTGCTAGCCTCATAGCTTACATAATCTGTTCATCTGGGTTTTTGACGTATCAAGCAATGAACATCAGATCCTCTGCGTTATAATTTTTTTCGCTATATATTTTGCTATTGCAGCCATTGCTACTGTCAGTAAATACAGATTGACTCGGCATATATTCAATTTCTTACTTAGGAATGTGGTTAATGAATGGCTCCATAGGTATATGTAGATTACTATTATTAGGCTATTGTTAATATTAGCCGTCTGGTAAAGCCTATGCAGCAATTTTGTAAATATTTCTGAAAGGTATCATTTTGACAACTGTATGAATACTATACTGGTGGTGGTTAATTCCCAACTAAGTCAGCCATGAGAGCTATTGTACTCAGACGTCTGTCAGAGAAGGAACAAAGCAATTGAAAGAGAGACTAGCACAGAGCCAAGACCTCTCAGTTTTATGAATTCATACACGTTTACAAATGCCCTTGATGACCCGAAGCATCGCCATCCACAACTGAAGACGACCCCTGCAACTTTGTATCGCTCACATCACCACGGCAGTAGAGATGCTTATTGAAGCTCGGAAACAAAGCAGAAAATAAATCAATTATCCCTAGAAACGGACCGACATTTATCAACAATGAACAACAAATATATCGTTATATCTGAATTATATATACCAGCAATAGCAGGATTTGCAATATGACATACTCAAAATCAAACAATGTGAAATACCATTTTATTCACCGATGAGACGCAGATAGCTCAATGTCATTCTCTTTATCGGCCGACTTCTCTGGCATGTATATCCTGCATGCATTCCTAGGGTAGACGAGTGTGTCTATATCGTTGGACCTGGATGAGCCCTACCCGGGAAAGCATTAATAAATTGAATATGTTATTTGTTATTATTTATAACCTCGTAAGATTTAAGGATTTTTTTCTGATATGAAATGTTCTCTGTTCTTCGAGAGGACCTTGCGCCGGTACCTGCATTGTACCTTCTAACTTGCCAATTTTAAATCGTGGACAGTACTAAGCAGATTTAGTAAACCTATGGTGACTTCGACTATTGTTTTGCATATGCATTCCTATCATGAATGACCTCCAGCCATGTGCACGCGCGAGGATACTCCTTTTTAAAACCCTCTTGGTGCCACTAGACCATATATGGTCCCTTTCTTTTCACACCATCTTAGTGCCACGGGACTATATATGTTCCCGTGAAAATGTACCCTTTTTAACTGTAAATTAAGATGTCAAACTCTGAGCAAAATCAAATTATAACCATCCACACCCTAATCATCTCAGCTTTATCATCTGTAACTCATATTGTTTACAGTGCTACTATACGGACTGCAAAATATGGTGACATTAGTAAAGTGGCTACCGCTCTCCTCGACCTGCCTTGTTGAATTTCATGCTTTATTATGCACCCATGCCACATACACGTAACCGTAAAAATACCAGACAGACCACCCCCCTTTCACACACACACACACACTGTACAGTTATTGGCGTATGACTACTAACGTTAGCCCGCAACGGATGTATTTGTTATAGTAGTTTATCGACTTTGTGTCATGGCGGTTAAGCATAGCGCTGGAGACGAAACGACAGTGCAGATTGTCTTTCTGATTATCATACTAATATTACAGAAAATATTTAAAGCTAAGATATCGAAAGATTGCTATGATCGTTAATATTTGGTCGTACAGTGTATATTTATGGGCAGGAAGTTCATGATCAAAACATTGAATGGAAATATCGAAGCCCATTGAAGTGATCGACAGGGCACGTTCGCATCATAGCTGCGCCGCGATTTCTGGTCTAACGGTTGTCTTTCATGCTCGCCCGTTTCCACAAATAACTGCTGCTTTTTTTTCATATGAAATTACTAATGCGTTATTGCTGTAACTACCATGCTTGTCGTGCGAGGCGACTAACGGGATCGGTTGGTCAGGCTCGTTGACTTGGTTGATGCATGTCATCGATCCCAATTGCGTGGATCAATCACTGGATTGTCTGGTCCAGACGCGATTATTTTCAGACCGCCGTCATGTAGCTGGAATATTGCTGAGTGCGGCGTTAAGCAACAAACAAAGCAATGCTCTAACTACCTGACCTTGTGCACGAATTGCCCTAACAGATTTCACACTGTGACGCAAAAGGAGATTTCAAAAGTGTGGCCACGACATCTAACGTTAGTCGACGCCATATTGTTAACAAATTGTGTCAAGGTCGGTTTCATATGTGGTAGCTCGGCCAGCGTTTCTGTCGGTGGTACACGCGAATCAAACATAATACAACTACTGGAAACATCATCATAACTTCTAAAATGATGACAGCAATACTTTTTTGCATTTGGGTTAACCGCTCATAGATACGATGTGCCTTAAAGTTCGATTTGGATTTGTTTTTCCTTTCATTGAAACTGCGATAATGGCGCTATGATTGGTTTGCTGAAATAGCTTTCTTTCCGTGAGTCTAATGTACATGGAACATGCTGTGATTTTGCAAGATAATTGATAATCAATAGTATGTGTGTGTATATATATATATATATATATATATATATATATATATATATATATATATATATATATATAAAATCAAATACACATTTTAAATCTCCTCAGAAAATGGAATATGTTTCATAGCACGACAGCTCGTATTTTCACCACAACATTATGCCATGGATATTAGATCCAATAAATACTAAATTTGTGAATTATTTATGTACCCTGTACTCTCGATTAACGTAAGGTAATCTATTGCAAGTCTTCAATTCTTATATGATATGTTATCTGAAAAGTCAGGAATGAGTAACGCTTTATTCCTTTTCGTTCAATGACGTACACTCTTCAATATTATTTGTGTAGGCGAGTAGAGTCCCGCTGACTTGGTTGATGCATGTCATCGTCCCAATTACGATCGATGGTCATGATGTCAATCAATGGATTGTCTGGTCCAGACTCGATTATTTACAGACCGCCGTCATACAGCTTCAATATCGCTGAGTGCGACCTTAAACAACAAATTAAACAACAACAACAACAACAACAACAAAACGGTCGGTGATTTCCCGCCGCTGTGATTTTGTCGCCTGGACAGGTGTGCGTGCTTTGACATCGCTTGTTGTGACGTGAATGACGTCATGTCAAACAGTTGATCTAATGTTGTGGCAGTCGTATGGATACACGTGGTTTCTGTTTCCAGATAATAATATTCTCTTTGACTGAACTAGAAAGATCGAGTACATCACTATTGAGAAGATTTCCACGGCGACCAGCGAATGAATGAGACGGTTTATCACACTGCAAACACGAAAACGTCGTTTTTTTCCGTATATGGTCATTGGACGGAAAAACGACTAAAATTTCATTAAAATTGATTAATTGGTCAGCGTCTAGAAAGTGTCCAGAAAAGGGTCGAGTTTTTCAAGCGTAAAATGGACGGAAAAACGATGCTTTTTGCTCAGCCTTAAACA